TCTTCCAAAAAAAAAAACCAGTACTTTACCAATAAATAAAAGAAAACGACCCGAGCGCCTTAAACCCGAACAATAAAAGTCTCATTTTATTATGCCGCCTTCCCAGATTAGATACACAGCGTCGGAGCTCAGCTCTTCGAATCTGAAGCGGAAGATGTTGCAATGTACTCCACGATTATACCCAGGCAACATAGGACATCCTTTTAAATTTGAATTTTATTTTGTTGAATTTGTTGAACATATATTCATGATTTTATATATTTATATCTCCATCCTAAAATTTTAAGGTTAGTTTGTCACACTGTGAAGAATAAAAGGCCTGGTGAAATTTTTATACTATGAAGATGTGAAATATTTAATATGACGTTATACAAAATAACTTGTGAGCTCTATATGTAAAGAGAAGCCTGTTTGAGCAGGTTATATATATGCATTATTTTAGGAAAGGTGCTTATGTAGATCTTATTTTTATCACAAGAAAGGGGGATGTATTTAGGATAAATGTCTATTTTTGGGCCTGAAATGGGGATGACTTACATTGACTTGGAGCAATATGCGAGTCTGCTGGTCAGTTTGGCAATTTAATCCCGAGTTGACAATGCTGCTGTTTCACTGTTTCAGCTACAAATTCATTTCCGGGATTTTTATTTTACATTTCTAAATTTCTAATTGAAAAATTCTTGTTTAAAGCCGCACTTTTTATATTAATTTTTCATGATTTTGTATATTTGATGCACGTATTGGCTTCCTAAAATTTTAAGATTAGTTTGTAACATCACAAATGAGTAAATGTAATATTGGCCCCATGAGGTTTTTTTAACACAAACAATGCCTTCGGTTTTGATATAAAAATTAAGAAAAATTATTGTATAGCCCTGCGTAAGCAATCTAATCATTAAAAAAAACTTATAACAAGTAAGTAATATGCATGCATAACAAGTAAAAAATATGCATCTATTATTATTTCCTCACTAGTTATTGCATGTTACTTCTGGTCCCAAAAAAAAAAGTTATTGCATGTTAGGTACATGTTATGAAAATTATTACTAATTTTTAAGTTACTTATGTATGACTGTCCAATAATTTTTCTTATTTGATAGCGCTGGTTGAGGTTACATTTAATGTTGAATATAAGATTTCAATTTACTTTGTTTTTTATATTTATTGTTATTTTATTAAACTATTCTTATTAATTACACATTTCAAGAAAGTTTGTATCAATGGCTAGTTTCAATACAAATGATTTAAGAAGGTAATTTAAAAAAACAAAAACAAATTTATTATAAATAACTAATTTTTTAATATTTATAAATTAGTTATCTAATTTTTATGTTAAAGATCGAAGATAAAGAGGTAGTATCATGTTTGGCAAGTAATAAACAAATAATTCCTGCAAATTTCAAATACATGTGATTGTTTTTTTGTGAAAAAATACGTTGGCATGGCTTGCAACTGAATGTTTACCTTCTTCTTTATGGTGGGAAGTTATTATTTCCATGCGGATTCATTGTTTCCTTCTTCTTCTTTCTTTTTTTTTTCTTGTGGTAACAAAGACAAGCTGTGCGTGAAGGAGAAAACTAAAATCTTAATACGTTTGGCATGAAAAACTAGAATGCAGCTAAAGAATGTTTGGCATGGAAAACTACTGGTTTTGCCATTTTCTTTGTACTACCTCTGTTTCTACTTATAAATCTTCGTTGGTAAACTACAAATGAGGTTTTATAAATAAGACTGGAGGTAATATTTTCTTTTTAATTTTGTTTGTGAAGGGCTTGGAAATGGCACGTGTTTAAGGCAGGGTGTGAAAGTATTTTACAAACTAAACTACATTATGATGCATTATAAGTTTTATAATAGACATATATGTTATTTATGACAGACATGTTACTAGTTTTTGGAGTTTTTTAGGATGGGACAAAAAAAAAAGTTTAGGATAAACAAAATTTTGGTTTTACTCGTTCTATTCCCATCAGGATCAAGACAGTCATGGCACGAGGTGTTAGAGTTTCAGTGTATGAGTGTGTCAAAACAAGTCCCTTATTATTTAAGATTGAGAAAATGTTAATGCTTACTAAGATGTAAGTTTAAGCTAATAAAATGGCTAAGAAGAGAAGTCTTTAGAACTGACCGTTAGTAATGACTGTTGAAACATTTATGTGTCTTAATTAGTCATTTTTATTTTTTCGTAAACCATATTCAATGGCATTAAAATGTTCTAATTTACCTACCGTTAGAAATAACTGTTGAAGCATTTATGTGTCTTAATTAGTCAGTTTTATTCTTTTGTAAACCATATTCAATGGCGTTAAAATGTTTTAATTTACCTAAATTAATTGTTTAAAAACCACCCTTTTAATTATCATTAAAATCATCTTTAATCATCATTATAACAACCCAACGGTCAAACGTTATCTGCCTATAAAAGTCAATGCGTTGTGCATAGTTAGAGGGTGTTGAGTTCTATCTCTGAGATCTCCTCCTCTATCACTTCTCTTGAATTTTAAATTTCTGTTATTCTGTCACCTTACTCTATGCTGGAAGGGTTCATTTAATCCTGAGTAGTGCTATCTTTTATTCTAACCTGTGTGGTGAAATAACTCTTAAGGACAATGTCCTTAGATATGACTCGAATCATATTTTTATTATTTTTACAGGCGTTGCCAACACAGGATCTATCTTGGTCCTATCCTGTCTCACAAACACCCCTAATTAGTTCACAATATCCTATATTAGTATTATTATCTTTTATAATCATCATACTTAGGGGTGTCTTAACAGGAACCAAACTATGATTTCAGAAGTGATTTTACAATATACAAAGTAAATAGGGTTAATTAATCTGGAAGTCCTTATAGTTTTAACCAATTTTGAATTAGGTCCTTATAGTTTTTTTTCTTTTTATCAGGTCCTTATACTTTCATCTATTTTTAATTAGGTCCTCACATTTATTTTTCTTTTATTAAGTCCTTATAATTTCACTAAAATTTTAATTAGGTCCATCTAGTTTTAATTTTTATTTATTAATTAAATATGAACTTAATTAAATAAATTAGTACTGAAATATAAAATATTAATAATTATATATAAAAGATAAGTAATATAATTAATTAATTAAGGAAATTTTTTTAAAAAAATTAATTTTTTTTGCTAAAAAATAAAATTATTATAATAATTCATTATTTTTAGAATATTATTGTTTATAAACTAATATTATATAATATATACTATTTTATGTTTATAAAATAGTACTATTAGACTTTATAAAATAAAGAATAAAAAATTCAGGGACTTACTTAAAAATAAGGTGATCTTATAAGGACTTGATAAAAAGAAAAATAAATGCAAGGACCTAATTAAAAACAGGTGAAAGTATAAGGATCTGATAAAAAGAAAAAAAATTATAGGGACCTGATTTAAAATTGGTTGAAACTATAAGGACTTGCAGATTAATTATCCCAAGTAAATATATGAAGAAGTTTATTTTGATTTGCGAAAAAAATGTTTTTAAAAAGTACTTCTCCTCATTCCCAAACACCCCCTTAATATAACATGCTAAACATATAATAAAATTTATCTTATTTGATATATCATATTATATTACATTTGATCCGTATATTTACATTATAATTTTGATATTCTAGTTAAACATTTTAAAATGATTGGTTAATATAATCTTTAGTCTCACAAGTTTATACAAATTTTGATTTTAGCCCATCGAGTTTTAAATCATAGATTTAGTCTTTTAAGAAATAAAATCCAAATTTTTATTGAATTATATAGAGTCATGTTTTAAATAAAAATAAATTTAAGAGATCAAAACCTACAATTTGAAACTTGAGGGGCTAAAATTAAAATAAGGGTAAATTTAAAAGACAATAATTGTATTAACCTGAAAATAATTATATAAATTAGAAAAAGAGTTTGCTTTTAAAAATAACTCAAAGGACTAACATAATTATTTCTTATAAGGATGATCCAATTCCTGTTATTCTTAGCATCATATCACTCACTAGAGTAAAAATTAATAAACATATATTACCTCTGATGCTTACTATAAGAGCTCATTTGATTTTTATTTTAGTCCTAAATATAAGACCCAAATCCATTTTGTCTCTCATATTCACCTTTTTTTAAAGATAGTTCATGTAATAATGATATTTTTAGCCAATACACATGATTATCAAGGACATTTTAAGGAAAACAATACCTATTGATTACAAATAACTAGCTTAACTAATTCCTTTAATTTATTTAAATTAGTCAACTAGTTCTTATACTACCTCCAGTTTTTAATATAAAAGCTAGTTGACTTTGAGTAAATTAAGGTAATTAGTCAAATTAATTATTTGTAATAAATAAATATTATTTGTCCTGAAATACTCTTACTAATCAAGCGTCATTTGATGAAATATTTAACATGTGCAACTACTGTAAGGATTATTTTGAAAAAAAATAAATAAATATGAGAGATAAAATAAATTATGGTTTTATATTTAAGACCAAATTAAAAATCAAATTAATTTTTCTATTAAGAAACGGAAGTAATATCTTTTAGCAAAATCACAATATGTTGGTAATTTTTTACCAAGAACTACATATTACCAATGGAAATATTACAATGTGTATACATATTTTTTTGCCAATGATATATTATAATATTTTGATTAAAGAACAGGATGATTAGAACATAGATACACACATATGCGCGCGCGCTTGTATTTGTTCATATATTTTAAATAGGATGATTAAATATCAACCAAAATATTGAAAAAGAAAAAGAAAAAGGGTAATCCGAAAAACACAATAAAATGGACTTATCTTTATGATCTGATCCGAATATGAAAGCGCTTTTTCCCAAGTTTCTTCCAGCACGCTTCGGCGGCATACTCCATTCAGGCTTCGATTTGATTCATTGGGCAAAGTTTTGTGCGTTTTCCATTCGGTGAACTGAAGAAGCATTGAAGCATTGCAGATGCTCCTCGTTCAATCTGATCCCAAATATGCTTTCTTCAGCTGCTGCAAGGTACTCCTCCTCCTTCACCAAATTTCCTCTCTTTGCTACTTGTACCTTCTTTCTCTCTTTCCCTTGTTCCCTCACTCTCAAATGTTATCTTCATTCCCACTCCCCAAACCCCAACAACATCCGCGACGCCGTTGATACAGTCACTCACTTCCTCCACATGCGGCCCCCTCCCTCTAGAAAACATATCAATAGGATTTTAGGGTCTATAGTGAAGATGAGACATTATCCCCTGGTTATCTCACTTCTTGCACAAGCCGAGTTGAAGGGCTACGTGCCAGATTTATTTAACCTGAGCATCTTGATCAATTGCCACTGCCACGTCGGTCAGATGGATCTTGCTTTCTCTCTGTTGGGGAAAATTTTCAAGATGGGCTATCAACCAAACGCTGTAGTTTTGACCACACTAATAAAAGGACTCTGTTTAAATCAAAATGTCGGCAAAGCTCTAGATTTCTACGATGACATAATGGCAAAAGGATTGAAGTTAAATGAAGTTAGTTATGGAACATTAGTAAATGGGCTATGTAAAATGGGGAAAACGACATCTGCTCTTAAATTGCTTAAAGTAATGGGGAGGCACCTTGTTAAGCCCAATATAGTTATATACAGCACAATCATTGATGCGCTTTGTAAAGAAGGACTAGTTAATGATGCACACAATCTCTATTTTGAAATGATTGACCACGGGATATCTCCAAATGTTGTTACTTATAGTAGTCTAATCCATGGCTTCTGTAGCATGGATCAGTGGCATCAAGCAAATCAATTACTCAATGAAATGATATCGAAAGATATACAACCAAATGTTTATACCTTTAACGTCCTAGTTGATGCATTATGTAAAGATGGAAGGATTGTACAAGCTCAAGCTGTATTTGCTAGGATGGTGAAGAGTGATCAAAGACCTAATGTTGTTACGTATAATGCTGTGATGGATGGACATTGTTTGACCAATAACATCATTGAGGCTAAGGAAGTTTTTAACAAGATGATTGAAAATGGTTTGGCACCTGACCTTTTTAGTTATAATGTTTTGATCAACGCATGCTTTAAGATGAAAATGGTGGATGAAGCGATGGATCTTTTTAAGGAATTGCATTCCAGAAATTTGGTTCCTAATGTCGTAACTTATAATTCCGTTATTGATGGGTTGCTCAAATCACAAAGAATCTCATGCGCGCAAGAGATTATTTATGAGATACATGAGAGGGGTCTTCACCCTGATATCATCACTTACAGTATCTTGTTAGATGCATTTTGCAAAATGGGACATCTTGACAAGGCAATTACATTATTTAGGCAAATTGTTGATCAAGGATTCCAGCCTAATGTGAAGATCTACACTATACTTATTGATGGTTTGTGCAAAGGTGGTAGATTAAATGATGCATGGGACACTTTTCAGTATCTTTTGGCTGAAGGTTACCAACTAAATGTCCGTACCTATACTGCTATGATTCATGGACTTTGCAAAGAAGGTTTTCTTGATGAAGCCGTGGCCTTGTTTGATAGAATGGAAGAGAACAATTGCCTCCCTAATTCCGTAACTCTCAACGTTATTATTGGATATCTTCTTGAAAACAATGAGAATGACAAGGCAGTTAAAGTTCTTAGTAGAATGATTGAGAGAGGCGTGCTGAAGCAATAAAACGAGGTGAGATCTGCTACACCTCAAATTCATTTGCCACAAATATTCATGTATGCCAAGTGTGGAGAGATAAGACTTGCTTGGAAAAGGTTTGATGAAATGCCTGGAAAGAATGTGGTCTCTTGGAGCGGGATGATATATGGCCACACTCAAATGTATGAATGAAGACTATGAAGCTCTTAGATTGTTCAGCCAAGCACTACTGGAAGATGTGGATATCAATCATTTTACATTATCAAGTGTATTACGGCTAGTGGCAGCTCAACTTTGCTTGCACTGGGGAAGCAAATACATGGACTATGCTTCAAGACAAGTTTTAATTCATCAAGCTTCGTGGGTTTTCTTTGAGGAAGCTAGATATGCTGGGGAAGTATTATGAAAGTTAAATGCCCAAATATAAATTTTTTTTGTGGTGAAGCGATCATAGATTTTAGTGTCTTGTTGATGAATATCCTCGTCTTATATTTATTCATTATCAGGAATAGCTCAGGTTTCTTCTTTATTGATAATACTGGAAGTTAGAATTTTACAAGAGGATGGGAAGTAATTTTCAACCATTCCTGATCGCTGCAATTGATGTTTATAAAAGAAATATGAAATATACATAGCAGGATACTTAGCAATCCTAGGTTTCTCTTAATTGCCGTCTCACTAAGGCTAAAGCACATAGAAATAGTAGTATAGACTCATGAAAATGTTTGTTTCTATGTTAATGGCAGTGTTTTGCTCCATCTTCTTTGGTCGCTTACTGTTATAGTTTTTAGATTTACGAGGAAATTGTCGGCATTAAGTTTGGGGACGTTTTTTGTGGCTTTATCTTGCGGTGATATCAGCATTTTGTTTTTTGAAATTTTTTTAATTCCTAGCTGTATTAATCGGCAGGAATGGCGGAGTTTGTTGTCATCACTTCGTTTTATGATTTGTGTTCCTCCGATAAGGATTTTAGTTGTGATTCGATAAGCATTTCCTTTGCTAGTTTGCTGATTTTCTTCAATAAGTGGTTGTGCTTCATTCAATCCTGCATTATGTTAATGGTACTTGATTGATTGCTTTTCGATGAGTGGCTCAAGGCCTAGTGATACACGATTATGACGAGGTAACAGACATTTTTAATTTTGAATTTTACCTTTCCGAATTTGTTGAACATATGTTCATGATTTTATATATTTATATCTCCATCCTAAAATTTTAAGGTTAGTTTGTCACGCTGGTCTCTGACCAAAAAAAAAACAAAAAAAAACAGGTTAATTTGTCACATTGTGAAGGATAAAAGACCTGATGAAATTTTTATACTATGAAGATGTGAAATATTTGATATGAAATTATACAAAATAACTTGTGAGCAGAAACCTATTTGAGGAGGTTATATCTATATTATTTTAGGAAAGGTACTTATGTAGATCTTATTTTTATCACAAAAAAGGGGGCTGTATTTGGGATAAATGTCTATTTTTGGGCCTGTGATAGGGATGACTCACATTGAGTCAGAGCAATATGTGTCTGCTGGTCAGTTTGGCAATTTAATCCCGAGTGGACAATGCTGATATTTTACTATTTCAGCTACAAAGTCATTTCCGGGATTTTTATTTTACATTTCTAAATTTGGAATTTAAAAATGCTTGTTCACAACCACATTTTTTATATTAATTTTTCATGATTTTATATATTTGATGCACGTATTTGCTTCCTAAAATTTTAAGATTAGTTTGTAACATCACAAAGAGTAACACTTGGTAAAATTATTATGCTACCTTTGACCCTTAGTGTAAAAACTAAAAGACTAATTTGCGTTAATTAAGAAAATTAGTTGAGTTAGTTATTTGTAATAAATGGGTATTTTTTATAAAATATCATTGCTAATCAAGTGTATTGGCTAGAACTACTATTATTACAAGGACTATCTTAAAAAAATAAATAAATATGGGGAGAGAAAAAAATGAATTGGGGTCTTATATCAATCAATCAATCATTGTATTCTTGAAAACTTGTAATACCCTATTTGTTTGAAAATGGGTCGGGTATGAAATTATAGAATCCAAATATATTCAATTAATGAGATTTAAATAATATGTTGATTGAAATTTGAATATATTGAATTAAATAGGAAACATTATAAATAAATGCAATTACAAATAGAGATTCAAATGAAGAAATTAATAAATAACTTTAAATTTAAATAATATCTTAATTAAAATTTGAATATATTACATTAATGGGGGTATCATAATTAAATAGTATGCCAATGAGAAGCTTAAATGAAGAAATAAATAAATAATTTCAAATTTTTATCTATTCTCCATAAATTCTGCGTCTCTAATTCAAATTCCATTAAAATGAATAAAAAAAATATTCCTATTAGAAGTAAATTTTAAGCTATCTTAAATAATGTAATTTATTAAAATTTTAAATATAGTCAAATATGCTAATCCGTCGCATGGGGGATAAATTTCTAGTTTAAGACTAAAATAAAAGTCAAATAAGATTTTATATTAACGATGGGAGGTAATATTGTAAAATATTTGATATGAAATTGTACAAAATAATACTTGTATATGTATTGTATGTTTGTTGGCTTAAAAAAAAAAGTATGTGTATTCTATTATTAAATATTATTTAATGTTTGGAGCTATTCAAAATTATTTTGACCAAAATTCTATTTATCGAAAAACATGATATATTTATCTGATTTGTTTGATTATATTATACCTAGAAAAAGATAACCTCTATTTAATTTTAGGATTTTTTTAATAAAAATGGGATACAATTTTTTGAGTGTAGTGGTGGGGTTTAAAAACAGATCAAGCAATTAGCACTTTTATTTGGCCAGCCCCACTGAAAAATCTTGTATGAACTTCAATTCTGGATTTTTATTTAAAAATTTTCCTTTGTAAACAATTTTTACGCTAGTTAGGATATTGCTCATATTTATTGAACTAATCAAATGAGTAAATGTAATATTGGCCCAATGAGGTTTTTTTACACAAACAACGCCTTCGGTTTTAATATGAAAATTAAGAAAAATTATTGTATAGCCCTACTTAAGAAATCTAATCATAAAAAAAAAAAAACTTATACTACCCTCCAACCCTTAATATAAGACCTCATTTGACTTTTATTTTGGTCATAAATATAATACTTTAATTCATTTTATCTCTGATATTTATCTTTTTTTTTTCAAGATAATCTCTCTAATAATGGTAGTTTTAGCTAACAAACTTAATTAGCAAGGATATTTTAGGAAAGACAACATTTATTTATTACAAATAACTAACTTAACTTATTTTCTTAATCTACTCAAATTAGTCAATTAACTCTTATATTTAAGACTGGAGGTAGTAACAAGTAAGCAATATGCATGCATAACAAGTGAAAGATATGCATCTATTATTATTTCCTTGCTAGTTATTGCATGTTACTTCTGGTCAACAAAAAAAAAGTTATTGCATCTTACTTACATGTTATGAGAATTACTAATAATTTAAGTTACTTATGCATGACTGTCCAAAATTTTTCTTATTTGATAGAGCCGACTGGGGTTACATTTAATCTTGAATATAAGATCTTAATTTACTTTGTCTTTCATATTTATTATTATTTTCTTGAACTATTCTTATTAATTGAACGTGTCAAGAAAGTTTGTATCAAGGGCTAGTTTCAATGCAAGTGATTTAAGATGTTAATTTAAGAAAACAAAAACAAATTTGTTATAAATGACTAATTTTTTTAGTATTTATAAATTAGTTATCTAACTTTTATATTAAAAATCAAAGATAGAGAAGTAGTATCATGTTTGGCAAGTAATAAACAAATAATTCCTGTAAATTTCAAATACATGTAATTGTTTTTTTAAAAAAAAATATGTTGGCATGGCTTGCAACTGAATGTTTACCCTTCTTGTTTATAGTGGGATGTTATTGTTTTATTTCCATACCCATTCATTGTTTCCCTTTTCTTTTTCTTTTTTGGGCAACAAAGACAACTAGACAAGCTATGCTTGAAGGAGAAAACTAAAATCTTAATAAGTTTGGCATGAAAAACTAGAATGCAGTTAAAGAATGTTTAGCATGAAAACTACTGGTTTTGCCATTTCTTTTGTATTTCATTTGAGAAGCAGACAGAAATGGCATGTGTTTAAGGTAGGGTGTGAAAGTATTCTACAAACTAAACTACATTACGATGCATTATAAGTTTTTATAATAGATAGATATTTTATTTATGATAGACACGTGATTAGTTTTTAGAGTATTTTTAGGATGAGATAAAAAAATTTCAAGATGAACAACTATGGGATAGGATAACATAGTGACTAGGATAGGACAAGACGTAGGATGAGGTCGTCCCATCCTAGAATATTTTTTTTTTTAATTCACTTATTAAATTATTAATATTAGTATTTGTGCTTTGTTCTTGTGATTTTTTTTTTATTGTCAAAAGCATGATTTCTTTGTTGTAATTTGGGCTTTTGCACAATAATTTTTTTTAGTGTTTTTATCCTTCAAAACCCCAATTAAAATAAAAATGAAGCATAAAAAATCTAAAATTTTGGCTCAAATTATTTGGGGGGGGGTTGGGGGATAGGGTGGTTTTTCCCCAAAAAAACTGCAATTTGGGTTATAATTTTGGTTTCACGCATTCTATTTCCATTAGGATCAGGATAGCATGGGACGAGGTGGTAGAGTTTCAATGTGCGAGTGTCTTAAAAGAAGTCTTATATTACTTAAAATTGAGAAGATTTTAGTGTTTACTAATATGTGAGCTTGAGCTAATAAAATGGCTAAGAAGATGAGTCTTTAGAACTGATCATTAAAAATGATTGTTGAAGTATTTATGTGTCTTAATTACTCAGTTTTATTCTTTTGTAAACTATATTCAATGACATTAAAATGTTTTAATGTTTAAGACCACATTTTTAATTGTCATTAAAACCATCTTTAATCACCATTATGAAAGCCCAACAGTCACACATTATCTGTTTATAAAAGGCAATGAGTAGTGCATGGTTAGAGGGTGTTAAGTTCTATGCTCGAGATTTCCTCCTCTCTCAATTTTTCTGAGTTTTAAATTCCTATTGTTCTGTCACCTTGCTCTATGTAGGAAGGGTTTATTTAATCCTAAGGAGTGCCACCTTTTATTCTAACCTGTGTGACAGAATAATTCTCAAAAACAATGTCATTGGATACGACTCGAACCATATTTTTATTATTTTTACAGTTATTGTCAACATAGGATCCGTCTTGGTCCCATCCTATCCCATAAATACTCATTAGTTCACAATATGCTATGTTAGTATTATTATCTTTTATAATAATCAGGCTTGATATAACGTGCCAAACATATAATAAAATTTATCTTATTTGATATATCATATTATATTTCATTTGATCTCTATACCTCCATCATAATTTTGATATTCTAGTTAAATGTTTTAAAATAATTGGTTAATATAATATTTAGTCTCACAAGTTTGCACAAATTTTGATTTTAATCTATCAAGTTTTAAATCATAGGTTTTTGGCTTTTTAAGAGACAAAATTCAAATTTTTATTGAATTATATAGAGTATGTTTTAAATAAAAATAAATTTGAGAGACCAAAACCAATGGTTTGAAATTTGATGGGCTAAAATTAAAATAAAGGCAAATTTTAAGGATCAATAATTGTATTAACCTATAAATTTAAAAAAAGAGTTTGCTTTTAAAAATGACGGAAAAAACTAACATAATTATTTCTTATAACTTATAAAGATCATCCAATTCCTGTTATTCTTAACATCGTATCACTCATTAGAGTAAAAATTAATAAACATATATTACCTCTTGTGCTTAATATAAGAACTCATTTGATTTTTATTTTGATCCTAAATATAAGACTTTAATTTACTTTATCTCTCATATTTTTTTTTTTAAAGATAGTTCTTGTAATAATAATATTTCTAACCAATACACTTGATCATCAAGGATATTTTAGGAAAGACAACACTTATGTAGTATAAATAATTAACTTAACTAATTTCTTTAATTTACTTAAATTAGTCAACTAGTTCTTATACTATCTTCGGTCTTTAATATAAAAGCTAATTAACTACTTTGAGTAAATTAAGGTAATTAGTTAAATTAGTTATTTGTAATAAATAACTGTTATTTTTCCTGAAATATTTTTACTAATCAAGTATCATTTGATGAAACATTTAATATGTACAATTACTATAAGGATTATTTTAAAAAAATAGATTAAATATAAGAAACAATGTGAATTGTGTTAAAAGTCAAACTAACTTTTATATGGTTAGATAAAACCATATAAAACCAAACCATGATTTGGAGAATAGCTTTTGGGAAAAAAGTGACTTTTGAGAATAGATTTTAAAAGAATAGATTTTGTAAAAAAGTGATTTTAATAAAGTAAAAGTGTTTGGATAATTATTATCAGAAGTATTTTTCATATGTACAAATTACTAAAAAGACATATGTTAATATGATAATTACATAAAACATAGATTTTATAATATATTTTTATTTGAAGTAATAAATTTGTTAATAATATATTTTTTTGCCAACATAATAAATAATATATAAATAATATAATTAACAAATAATTAATGTGTATATGTATTTATAAAATATAAGATTAAATATATTTTCAGAAAAATGATTATGTTTTTGCCAATTGAAAAATATTATTTTTTCTTAAAGATTTTAAATATGAAATCCGATAACATTTTTTTACAGCTAGTTTTTTTAACAACATACTACTTCTGATTTTTAATATAAGAGTTGTTTTGATATTCAATTTAATTCTAAATATAAAACCCTAATCTATTTTGTTTATCATATTTATCTATTTTTTTCAAAATAGTCCTTATAATAGTTACATATGTTAAATAGTTCATCAAATGGTACTTCTAGTTAGTACATATAATTAGAAAGAGTATTTTAGAAAAAAATAATACCTAATTATTACAAATAATTAACTTAACTAATTTTCTTAATCTACTCAAATTAATTAACTAGCTCTTATAATAAGAATCAGAGATAGTATTACAACGTAAAAAAAAAAGAACCATATTTTCCACAAGCAACTTTTTTTCGCTTTTTCACGAAACCATGGTTTGGGTGGGTCAAACCATGGTTTTATAAAAATGTGAGGTGTTTGGCAACCTAAATCTTAAAGCCATAGTTTAAACTCTAAAAGTGATTTTGGCAAGGTTGTCAAACATCCCTTAAAAAGCGAAGGCAATATCTTTTAGCATAATTACAATATGCTGATAATTTTTTGGGTTAAGGTGCACCCAACACCCCGAACTATTTACCTAGATGCGTCCAGTGGCCTAAAGTAATTTTGAATGCATCCAATGTCCTAAACTAATTAATATGGTGCGTCTATATTCCAAGCTGACAAAAATGTTATGTTTAATCGTTACTTTCCTGACTCAACTTAAAGTTGACCCCATATATTGTACATGGTAGACACATGGGCACCCGATGTGTATTATTCTTATTCAAAAGTCAATTTATTTAGAAGAAGAGCAAGGAAATAAATTCAATTTTGAGTAAAAATAATACACATCAAAATGTCCATATGTCTACCATTTAGAATATCTAGGGTCAATTTTAAATTGAATCAGGAAACTAACGATTAAACATAACATTTCTATTAGCCTAAGATATGGACGCACCATTTTAATTAGTTTAGGATACTGGATATACCCAAAATTATTTTAGACCACTGGACGCACCTGGATAAATAGTTTGGGGTGTTAGGCGCACCTTAACCGTAATTTTTTTACCAAGAACTATATATGACCGGTGGATATATTAAAAGGTATGTATATTTTTTTGCCAACGACGTATTATAATATTTTAATTAAAAAATATGATGATTAGAACATATACACACACATACATATATATGTGTGCGAGCGCGCGCTTGTGTTTGTTCATATATTTTAAATTTTAAGTCTTGATTAAATATCAACCAAAACACACAAAAAAAAAAAAAAAAAAAAAGAGTGCCCGCTGAAATTTTGCAATTGACGAGTGATTAAATGCACTATCCTGGGCGAAATCCGAAAAACACCGTAAAATGGACTTATCTTGGGAGAAATTCCCAAGTATCATCTGATCCGAATATGAGGCGATTTTTCCCCAGTTTCTAGTTTCTTCCAGCACGTTTCGGCTGCACACTCCATTCAGGCTTCGATTTGATTCATCGTTGTGCGTTTTCCATTCGATTAACTGAAGAAGCATTGAAGCATTGCAATACTCCTCTTTCAATCTGATCCCAAATATGCTTTCTTCAGCTGCTGCAAGGTACTCCTTCTCCTTCGCCAAATTTCCTCTCTTTGCTACCTGTACCTTCTTTCTCTCTTTCCCTTGTTCCCTTACTCTCAAATGTTATCTTCATTCCCACTTCCCAAACCCCAACAACATCCGCGACGCCGTTGATACAGTCACTCACTTCCTCCACATGCGGCCCCCTCCCTCTAGAAAATATATCAATAAGATTTTAGGGTCTATAGTGAAGATGAGACATTATCCCCTGGTTATCTCACTTCTTGCACAAGCCGAGTTGAAGGGCTACGCGCCAGATTTATGTAACCTGAGCGTCTTGATCAATTGTCACTGCCACGTCGGTCAGATGGATCTTGCTTTCTCTCTGTTGGGGAAAATTTTCAAGATGGGCTATCAACCAAACGCTGTAGTTTTGAATACACTAATAAAAGGACTCTGTTTAAATCAAAATGTTGGCAAAGCTCTAGATTTCTACGATGACATAATGGCAAAAGGTTTGAAGTTAAATGAAGTTAGTTATGGAACATTAGTAAATGGGCTGTGTAAAATGGGAAAAACAACATCTGCTCTTAAATTGCTTAAAGTAATGGGGAGGCATCTTTTTAAGCCCAATATAGTTATATACAACACAATCATTGATGCGCTTTGTAAAGAAGGACTAGTTAATGATGCACACAATCTCTATTTTGAAATGATTGACCATCTCCAAATGTTGTTACTTATAGTAGTCTAATCCATGGCTTCTGTAGCATGAATCAATGGCATCAAGCAAATCAATTACTCAATGAAATGATATCGAAAGACATACAACCAGATGTTTATACATTTAGCATCCTAGTTGATGCATTATGTAAAGATGGAAGGATTGTACAAGCTCAAGCTGTATTTGCTAGGGTGGTGAAGAGCGACCAGAGCCCTAATGTTGTTACATATAATGCTGTGATGGATGGACATTGTTTGACCAATAATATCATTGAGGCTAAAGAAGTTTTTAACAAGATGATTGAAAATGGTTTGGCACCTGACCTTTTTAGTTATAATATTTTGATCAACGCATGTTTTAAGAAGAAAATGGTGGATGAAGCGATGGATCTTTTTAAGGAATTGCATTCCAAAAATTTGGTTCCTGATGTTATAACTTATACTTCCATTATTGATGGGTTGCTCAAATCACAAAGAATCTCATGCGCGCAAGATATTATTTATGAGATGCACGAGAAGGGTCTTCACCCTGATATCATCACTTACAGTATCTTGTTAGATGCACTTTGCAAAATGGGACGTCTTGACAAGGCAATTACTCTATTTAGGCAAATTGTTGATCAAGGATTCCAGCCTAATGTGAAGACCTACACTATACTTATTGATGGTTTGTGCAAAGGTGGTAGATTAAATGATGCGTGGGAGATTTGTCAGTATCTTTTGGCTAAAGGTTATCAACTAGGTGTCCACACATATACTGCTATGCTTCATGGACTTTGCAAAGATGGTTTGCTTGATGAAGCCGAGGCCTTGCTTGATAGAATGTTAGAGAACAATTGCCTCCCAAACTTTGTAACTCTCAATGTTATTATCCGATATCTTCTTGAAAACATTGAGAATGACAAGGCAGGTAAGGTTCTCAGTAGAATGATTTATAGAGGCGTATTGAAGAAATAAAACAAGGTGAGATCTACTGCAGCTCAAATTCATGTTCCACATGTATTCATGTTAACTAGCATGAGTGGTTAGCAAAAGCTTGTATTGTGAATTTAGACTGATGAGTGGTTAGCAAAAGCTTGTATTGCTCAACTAGCATGAGTGTTTGGGATATCATTGATGAGTTAATGAAATAAAAAACATGTCCACTCAGTAGACTGATGTGGAATTTTAGATGGGTTATTGTGGTTGAGTGAGGTTATGTACTGTTATTATGTGGTCAAGTATCATATGTTTCCATTGGTGATGCACTGTTCCTATAGATGGGTACAAGAGAATGTCGGGCACGCAATACCCCAGGTGTTGCCCTCTCCTTTCTCTTTTCTTCCTAATTTTCTTTTAAAAACGGGGAGGAAATTGCATATCTTTCCCTGAAGAAGCAAGATATGCTGTGAAAATATTATGAAAATTAAATGGCTAAGTATAAATTTTTATGGGGAAAAGATCATAGATTGCTGTGTTTTGTTGATGAAGGTCCTCGGCTATCAATGATACTGGAAATGAGAATTTTAAAAGAGGATGAAAAAGTATTTTTTAACCATTCCTGATCATTGTAGTTGATGGTTATGAAGGAAATATGAAATATACTTGGGAGAATATTTAGCAATCCTAGTTTTCTCTTAATTGACCTCTCACTAAAGGCTAAAGCACATAGTAATGGTGGTATAGACTCATGATTTGTATCTGTGCCCATGATTCGATTAGATTGTACTTTAGTGCTTGACTTGTGACCTTAAAAAATGAAAAGGATGTAAAAGGTGGATGAAGCCTTAGATCTGTTTAAGGAATTGCATTGCGGAAATTTGGTTCCCGGTGTTGTAAGTTATAATTTATACTTCTGGCCCAAAAAAAAAAATTTGTTGTACTTTATACTTGTGCTATTGATGGCTTGCTAAATCACAAAGAATCTCATGCGCATAAGATATTATTCACGAGAGGCATGAGAGGGGTCTTTACCTTGATATAATCACTTGCAGTATCTTGCTAGACGCATTTCCATAGGCGAAGGTGGCTTGATCTAGGATTAGAAGTACTACCCACGGTTTTTAATACAAGACTTTGTTTAACTGTTATTTTGGTTCTAAATATAAGACTTAAATTCACTTTGTCTATCATATTTATTTATTCTTTTCAAGACAGTCATTTTAATAATGATGGTTCTAACTAATAAATTTGGTTAATAAGAATATTTTAGAGAAAGACAACACTTATTTACTATATATAACTAATTTAGTTTGTTTTCTTAATTTATTCAAATTAGTCAATTAATTGTTATATTTAGGACTAGAGGTAGAATTTACTAAGAGTCCTGTCAACTTTCTTGTGTCTTGCTATTGTCCTTTGGGTCATTTTTTTCCTCAACCTCCCGGTTTTGTTTTTTCTGTATCTTTTATCAACGAGACAAGGATTGTATATGTTGCGGTGTGTTTAGATTAGTGGTGGAGAAGTAATTTTTTTTGCAATCTGATTTTTACAGAAGTCAAATTGGGTAAAAATTAGATAATATAATGTGATTTATATTTGGATTGGTTTTTATAGAGAAATTAGTTTGAGCAGCTAAAACTTGTTTGAATGAGTAATGAAAAAATAAGTTTAAATGTAAAATGACTGAAAAGGACATAAATTTTATTAAATGACATATATATACTATGTACATAATGTGAAAGTTTTAAGAGAAATATTAAAACTAACAAATTATAAAAATAAAAATAGTTCTAAAGTACTTAATTAGATATGTTTAATGGATAAAAAATGTATATAAATTTTAAATAATAAAAATAAATACAATAAAAAGATTCAAATTTGTTTGAATAATCCTTTGAGATTAAAGAGATTTGGACTAACTTATCTGAATATAAGATTTTAGATAATAAAATAACAAAACAAAAAGATATCTTAACAGAAAATAAAGAAGGTTCTATTGTCTTTTTTTTAACCCCAAAATATCTAATCAGTTCACTCCTCACTCCACCGCCTGCCTTCTTCACCCCCTCCCTAACCTTGCCTCTGTCAATTTGCCCCTGATGGCAGCAACAATAATCATTCACGGCCTCTTCCCACCTTAGCGTCTCAAAATCCCTCTCAAATCTCAGCGCCCCTGATGCAAGCAACAAGTCTTTAGGATTTTGTAGACCCATCACTATATCTCTGAGATTTTTTTGCTTCTTCTCTGGCAAAGAGAAAGAGAGCGCCACATGGCTTCCTAGAATTCAGCTCCACTTGAACTCACTTGAGAATTCTTGGGTTGGTTCACTTTTTCCGTTGGGCAAGTTTTGTTATAATTGTTGCAGAAAAAGGTTTGTTAATTTTCATCCTGTTTTTGGGTAGAAGGGCAACTTGGGTAGGTAATAAATTTATGCTTTGCTTGGATGGGAAGAAAAGTTGGAAGAAAAGAAAATGGGAGGAGAGAAAATAGAGATAAGGAAAAACTAGAGGAAAAATGTTATCATCCCTATTGCTTGGATAGATGAGAGAAAATAGAAAAGAAAGAAAATTAATAAATATCCAAATGACTAAAATGTCCTTATCAAATATATCACATTTAAAACTAAATTAAATTAAATATTGTGATAGAAAGATTATACTAACATTGGCGTCATGAAATAATTAAAATCAAGTTATTTGATTGATATATATTTTCATATTATTACATTTTAAAGCCAAATTATTTAATAAAAATATTGTTTTAAGATAAAAGAAATAAAAAATGAATAAATTTTTAAATATAATAAAAGAAAATAAATATGAAAAGTATGAGATAGTAGGGGTAGTTATGAAAATCTTGTTTTCCTTCCCAAATCTCTCCATATATGAAGAGAAAATTTGGAGAGAAAATGAGGTATGGGACCCACCTTATTTTCTCCCCCACTTTTCCTTCCTCCCACATTTTCTCTCCTACCCAAGCAAAAGAAAAGTTGTTTCCCCTCCTATTTTCTTCTCTTATTTTCTTTCCTCCCTAATTTTTCCTCAATCCAAGCAGGGGGTTAAGGAGCTCATAATATTGCCACACTGTGAGGCACTGGAAAAAGGCTCCACCATGCAATAGAAGAGAAAAGGACTTCATAGATAGTCACGGATCCAAACAAGAAAAATAGTCGGGAGTTGTTTTTTGTGATAACATAATTTCAAACACACCTGTATATTATAGCCTTTTAGCCTCAACCTTGTGCTATCCCATCTGCATTAAATTCATTACCCACTCCACTGTTCATGCCATCAAAAATCCTACATGAACTCAATAGCTTCAGCCTATAAGTATTAGTCTATGTTTGGATTGCAGTTGGAGAAGCCAAAAGTGCCTGGGGAAGCGTGAAACTGAGGTTATTGGCTTATTGTGGTTCAGAAGATTGTTTGGATGGGGCTTCTTTTCTAACTGACTTATAGAAAAAAGCAACTTTTCTAACTGACTTATCCAACGCAATCTGGATCAACTTTTCTAACTAACTTATGGGAAAATTGTGTAAAGCTTATGATCTAATTAGTTATCTCATTTCATTTACTTTAATTAGAGACCAAATGAATTTTAATTTATATTCATGTTTGTCCATCATGTATATTTAATTAATTATCTACAATGTGTTTTCAAATTTTTCTCCGTAACAAATATTTTTATTTTATAATCTCACAAATAAACTATTTATATTTTCATAATAATTTTACATATTTTTTTCAAACTATTATCACATTAAAAACATAAAATTTCAAACACTACTATTCAATAAAGTCCATGCCCTTTTCAGTCATTTTACAACTAAACTAACTTTTCTATTAATCATCCAAATAACTTTCAACTTTTTTAACTGACTTTTTATAAGCACCTATCCAAACACAAATCACATTATACTGACTGACTTTTACTCTAACTTCAGTTACAAAAATCAGTTGGACTAGAAGTCAGTTTTGCCCAACGCCAATCCAAACATACCCTTAGTCATTTCATTACCCACTTCACTGTTCAATATTTCTGATTAAATTACTTTTTGTTCTTTCAAGCTGTCAATGATTTTTTCCGCGAATTTGAACTCAAGAGACTTGCGAAAAAGAGCATATAGTTCAGTGATTTGTTGTCAAATTATAAAGCTGAAGTTTTGTAGTTCAGTACTAACGCTGAGATTCAATGAAATAATTACGGGGTATACAGCGTGACACCTTCTAGGTAGGACTATTTTGGGCTCATTTTTTGGACCCACTTACAGCAACAGTAAACTTAGGAAAGATAGAGTTGGGTTGATGTAGAAAGTGAATCAATAGTAATTAGGAAAAATTGGAGATAAATTTCTCATTATAAGTTTAATTCGCAAATAGTCTCTAACATGATTGATTGCATAAAGAAAAATTAGTTACATGCAAAGGAATGTAAGTTACAAAATATTATTTGGATATAAAGAATTAATTTGCACACAGAGAAGATGATTTGTACAAGACATATTTTACTTTGCTTTTTATATTTATCGTTGTTTTTCTAAACTATTTTTATTAATTGCACATATTAAGAAAGTTTGCATTAGGAGGTCGTTTTAATGCAAATGATTTAAGAGGGTAACTTAAGGAAACAAAAACATATTTATTATAAATAACTATTTTTTCAGTATCTATAAATTAGTTATCAAACTTTTATAGATAGTATTATATTTGGCAAGTAATAAACAAATAATTCCCACAAATTTCAAATACATGTAATTTTTTTTGGTGAAAAAAATGTTGGCATGGCTTTCAACTGAATGTTTACCTTTCTTGTTTATGGTGGGAAGTTATTGTTTTATTTCCATGCTGATTCATTGTTTCCTTTAGACTGCAGCTAAAGAATGTTTGGCGTTAAAAACTACTTGTTTTGCCATTTCCTATGTATTTTTCTTTTTAATTTCAGTGGAAAAGAGGTTGGAAATGGCATGTGTTTAAGGTAGGGTGTGAAAATATTTTAAAAGCTAACCTACATTATGTTACATAATAAGTTTTTATAA